CTGTTCCGACATTGGAGTTGTCCGAGATTTCTGTGTGTGGCCATCCAGCTCTCATTTTTGGACAGCAGAGTCAGATCCCAGCTAGATCAGGACTGTGGTATAGGCTGAAGCTAGACATTGACTCACTTTAATGCAGCTGAGCATGGTTATAAATTTTCCTCTTAGCCTCATTTCTATAGTTTTGCCTTATTTGCATTGCCAGTTCGTGTTTAGTTTGCGAGTCCAATGCTTAGAAGCATATTAACTTAGAGGTTGTATTGTATTGTCTTATATGGCACCACTCGGTGTCACCATTTTTACACACTCTTGCATCAATTATTATTTGCTCACACACTTGCGAGGCATTGACTTGGTGGATTTTCCTGCAACCTTCACTCACCTCTCAACCAAACATGTTATTATATTATATTATACCTACTCACGAGTGCAAAGCCTGAGACCCATATTTAATCTATTACACTTTATATTGCATGCATGAGTGTCCAATATGCATGGCCTGTTTCACATTTTGTTATTTTAGAATTATTGACATGCTATTCTTGCATGTTTATTAAACACTAAAAAGAACAGTTTCATAAGGAGTATGTGTACCTAATATGGTTGTGACAACTTATCATATGTTCTAATTGCTATTCTCTTATTTGTACTGTTTGACCCAATATCTCAATAAAAGAAAGAATTACAAAAAAAAAAAGATCAATGCAGATTTTGCCATCACAAAGTCTCTACTGCACTACTCATACAAAGTTAAAGCATTACTGTCACGGTTTGGGGATTTTGACAAATTCGCAAAGTTCCCCAATGCTGACATCGCCACTAGTGGTCAAGTGGACGGGGGACAGGTAAAGGTGAGTTTACTTACCTGAACCTGCTCCTTGTGGACACCGGAAACGTGATCTCGCACATGCATGAGAGTACAGCATTGAGGTCTATGGAGGATTCTGTGAGATCAAGCTTCTAATTTGGGGAAAGGGGTAGAGACAGTGTCACTTTAATGTAGAGGATTTGGTTTTGGGCAAGTCAAGGCACCAGAGGTGAATGCAAGAAATGTTACATGTTAAGTAGGTCGAGGTCACAGCAGGCAGTTCAAAATGCAGCCCCCAAAAACAAATAAAGGAGCTTGGGTAAAATAGTTGTATGATTCAAATCAACTGAAAGAACAAGAAGCTGAACATGAGGTTTCGGAAACGAAATGGTAATTATGTAGTTGGCTGCAGGCATCATTGCAAAAATATTTTAAGGGAAGAGCTGAAATGGAATAGAATGCAGCAAATAAACACGAGTCGAGATAGCTGCTAGGGCATGGCATTAATTTTCAAGAACCCCTGGATGCCAATACTCGACACATGAAGCTTGTAATAAAATTGTCTATTTTATAAACCCTCTGGTCTCTGCCAGTTCTTCAGGAGAACTTTGAAAGTTTACTTTGCAAACATTTAGTAATATTTCCATTTTTCTTTAGGACATGTGGCCTGGTACGGTGAAGACATTTTAAGGCAATTATTAACCTATGGAGAGGCGTTTATATTCTAAGGAAAGTTATTTAAAATGGATTAAATGTATTAACAGCATAAATTACACACAACACATTTACAGTAATGTAAACTCATAATTTTATTGCTTTGGTGCCAGGTAATACATTAATATGCTGCAAGTGACAATTTTCTGGTAAAGGAGAAAAATGGCTAATAAAGACCGAGAAGGGGCCTGGGATTGCAGTGAGGGACTGCTCGTCATAACGATAGTCACTTGAGTCATACTAAGCAGCCTGTGTATATTAGACATGCAATTTGTTTCTTTCTGAATTTAAATTCATCCAAATTCGGCAATTTGTAAGTGTGGGAATATTTGAATCGACTGAAAACAAAATGAAAATAAACATACCCATAACTAAACGAATCGGTTAGTTGGTTTTTTCCTCCATGCACATCTCTAGTATAAATATTAACCAAACCAGAATTTTTTTTTAATATAATATACAAATGTGTTTGCTATATATATACGTATAAAATAAGTTTTAATAGAGATACAGTATATTGACCATGTGTATCAGTTAAAATATATATTTTGGGGTGCTCCTATTTTCTGTTTCTAGATGGGATCCTTCCCAACAGAATTCTTTTTCTTGTAAACAGCATATTTTATTAAGAAATATATTTTATTTATTAATGTGACAGTATAAGTATCATTATTAGTTTTTGATTGTACAGTATAACTACCTCAGAATATAACAAGATTGTACAGGACTCAGTATGCATACATTGTAACAATGTATTTAAGAGAGTTAATGACAGTCCCGATATGAGAGGATACTTAAACACTCCCTACTCTGGGCACCACTGGACTTTGTGAAAGCCCGGAAGTAGGGCGAAACGCGGAAGTCACATGGTCTATGACCTCAAGCAGCTGAGAGTGGAAGAAGATGGACGGATCCCCAGTGGATGGATGACTAAACTGCCAACTCAGAGTAAGGACTGCGACACAAGTGTTTCATTCTTTATTTAAATATAAAAATATATAAAGAACATACTGCTTCTGGCATCAAGTCACTATTCATACAGAAAACACTGTGTACATTGGGACAAGTGTTGTCCCTCAGGAAAGTGAGAGTCAGCACTTGGTGGTGGTCTGTGGAATAACATATTGCATAATTGGAGTCTGTTTGATTTTTGTTCAGGGTGTTCCAAAATAGACCTAAGAATCACTGTATATACACATAGCCATTCAAACTTAGGGCAATATTGTGTTTCCCCAGAACAGGATTAAAGAACATACTGATGCTGACATCCAATCAAAAACAGACACTGTATACCTTGGGAAAGGTGCTGGTCTCTAAAGAAGGTGATAGTCCACACTTAGAGATGCATGATGGTGGTCTGTGGAATAACATATTGCACAATCGGAGACTGTTGATTTTTGTGGAGAGTGCTCCATAACTGTTCTGAAGATCGCCATATTTACACCGTGTCAATGCAATTCATACCTGTGGAAGTACTTTGTGACCCTATAGCAGGTGAGAACATTATCTATAGGGGTGTGTGGTAGTCGCAATCGCAAGAGTTGCTAAGCCACTGGATGTTTTCCTGTTTTGACAGAGTTTTAATATTTTACATGTAACCTGTTCAGAGCCTTAACGGAAGACCACATTTAAACGGACTGTAAATGTTTGTACCTAAAAGAAACATTCCATTTAGGAAATGTCTTTAATGTAGTGTCATTAATATTCTGCGCCAACTCATGGCATATATATTTTGTTGTGTGAGAATTATTAAGATGATTATAGGACGGCTGCTCATTATTTAGAGAATTATTATATTCATATAGAAATAGTGGTATTTGAAGAAAAAGCACCTCAGATAAGATTCAATTAATCACATATCTGATTCACAATGTTTAAAAGAAACATTGCAAGCAATTCCAGTAGCCTCTAGGACTCAATAGAAGGGAGCTTTAGTAAGATTTCTCAGACAGACAATCTGTCTTATCAACAGTATACTGCACTCACTCATCACCTCGGACTACGGTTTGATTGTTTGCATGTAAATAAAGTTATGTAGAGATGATGGAGGTGTTTCTGCCTTCCTTCCCCCCTTAAAATTATTACCTTAACAAAGTTAAGTTAAGAATTGTACTTTATTTATCAGTTGACCAAAGAATCTTTCGGCTAAGGTCTTCACTACACCTGATGAACTAGTGACATCTTGTCCACATTCATTTTCATTACAATAGGCTCAATTTTTAATAAGCTCTCTTTGTTTGTAAGGAATTCACGTGTTACCTCAATATAACTCTATACTGATGTCCACTTATTTCCTATACATACATGTATGTCAAGAGCAAAATGTTTTGCAGGCTTTATTTGACTTGTGTCATACTGTGTAGACTAAGTAGCTATATCTTGCTCAGAAATGTTCTTCGGTTTCAGAATTGTATCATTCATATAAATCTTTCTATGTTACACATTTCTACATGTTTTTAAGTGCACGGATGATGATCATAAAATGGATGCTGACCTTCCGGAAGAATCTCTGCAGTATACTTCAGCTATCTCTTGCATTTCACAGTAGGCGTTTTAAACTCCATTTATTCTGGATTAATGATCCTGCAAAAGCTCTGGTCAGACTCAGGCGGTGGTCGAAAGAAACAGATGAACAAAACCGGATTACCTTGTATCCCATGTTTTCTAGATACAATAACAGCAAGAAATCAGTATCTATTAAACATAATGACTGCAAATTTATTGTTGTGTTTTTTTGTGTGTGTGTGTGTGTGTTTTTTATAGGGCTTTTTTAATAGTATAGTTACATGGGCTGAAAAGAGACCTGGGTTTATCATGTTCAGCCTTTTTCACATCTGTTTTTGCTGTTGAGCCAAAAGAAGGCAAAAAACAATTTGAAGTGCTTTCCAATTTTGCAAAAAGACCATGAAAATAAAATAGTTCTTGACCCCAGATTGGCAGTCAAATATTTCCTTGCATTTTTTTCTACATTAAATTTGATCTGCCCAATCTATCTAAATCCCTCTGCAGCGATGTAATAGCCTGCTCACATTGTATTACTTTACAGAGTTTTGTTTAATCTGCAAACACTGAAACATGACTTCCAATGCCTATTTCAAGATCATTTACAAATATGTTAAGTAGAAGCAGTCCCAGAACAGAACAAGCAGAACCAGTACAGAACATTCTGTACTCTATCTTTAAGTTAATGTTCTACCCAAGAACAAGACTTTTTATCTAGATTAATTTATTTTACTTTTAACACTTACCTATTGTGTGTAACCATTACAAACAGATTGGAAAACTCCAAGTAGATCACATCCACTGCAACAACCTGGTCTATACTTCTACTTACTTCTTCGAAGAATGCAATTAAAGGACCACTCTAGGCACCCAGACCACTTCAGCTTAATGAAGTGGTCTGGGTGCCAGGTCCAGCTAGGGTTAACCCATTTTTTAATAAACATAGCAGTTTCAGAGAAACTGCTATGTTTATTAATAGGTTAAGCCTTCCCCCAAAGCCTCTAGTGGCTGTCTCATTGACAGCCACTAGAGGCGCTTGCGTGCTTCTCACTGTGATTTTCACAGTGAGAGCACGCCAGCGTCCATAGGAAAGCATTGTAAATGCTTTCCTATGCGACGGGCTGAATGCGCGCGCAGCTCTTGCTGCGCGTGCGCATTCAGCCGGCGGGGCGTAACGGAGGCGGAGAGGAGGAGGAGAGCTCTCCGCCCAGCACTGGAAAAAGGTAAGTTTTTACCCCTTTCCCCCTTCCAGAGCCGGGCGGGAGGGGGTCCCTGAGGGTGGGGGCACCCTCAGGGCACTATAGTGCCAGGAAAACGAGTATGTTTTCCTGGCACTATAGTGGTCCTTTAAGTTAGTTCGACATGACCTATGTTTCATAAAACAATGCTGACAGAAGTTAAAGGAGCACTAAAGTGCCAGGAAAACAAACTTGTTTTCCTGCCACTATAGGGTCATTAGGTCCCCACCTCCACCCTCAGGGCCCCCCTCCTGCTGGGTTGAATGGGTTAAATCCCCTTCAGTTTCTTACGTTTCTCCAGTGCCGGGCTCCCTCTGTGCTGGGGAACTCTCCACCCCCTGCGGACGTCAGATCTGAATGCACAGTAAGAGCCGTGCGTATTCAAACAGCCCATATGAAAGCATTACTCAATGCTTTCCTATAGACGTCCAGCGTCTTCTCACTGTGATTTTCACAGGGAGAATCGCGGAAGCGCCTCTAGCGGCTGCCAGTGAGACAGCCACTAGAGGCTGGATTAACCCTCAGTGAAACATAGCAGTTTCTCTGAAACTGCTATGTTTTCAGCTGCAGGGCTAAAACTAGAGGGACCAAAAAAGGACCAGCTGCAGGGTTAAAACTAGGGAACCACATCTGCCTTCCTTTAATCCTCAGGTACAATTTCAGAAAGAATCCAATACTGAAAGATTAAAACAAAAGGTTCTCTTATTTCCACACATAGCTCCTAAAATACTCATGGGTGAATACTGTCAGGCCTTGGAGCTTTGTTTACATTAACTTTCTTTAGTTGATGTAGCACCTTTTCTTGAGTGTGTACTCACATGACACTCAGGGCACTGAGACCGTCTAGATATTTCTTAAACAGTGCTCACTGTATGTCTTGCCCTCAATGGGCTGGCCTGCTTGAGTGGAAGACTTGTCAATAACTTATGGGGACCCACCCCTTTCCAGGTGAGTCTACCCTCTTTGGATGGGACTAGTGATACAATTGCATCACTGACTCGCACTTCATTGCCTCTTTTCCACCGGCATCACGCTTCTCTGTAGGCCAATGTTGGGGGTAAGTTCCAACTCTTAAAACATTCTAAGACCTTGTTAGCATAAATCATACATTGGAATATACCATATACTGATATTTTTCTGGATTCTCACATTTGAAACACAATTGCAAAGGCAGCATACAAAAAATACTGCAGAATGAAAATCTGATAAGTGACAATGCTGTCTGTGCAATTTTACATGTAATTGCATGGCATTCTGGTAAAGTCGAGGAACACGATCTTTCGGAGTCAATGCATCTCCATCATTGCTTTATGATGTGTCAATGATTCACAGCAGTATATGAAAAAAATCTGAAAATGTATGTAAATCAAGAGGAACATATGGGATTAGAACTTTGCACATCACATCAGATCATCATTCTAGAAGAAAGCTGCGGTGGAAAAAATTGTTACAATCTGTTATATAAGAATTGTGCAGTTTCCTGCCAGTTATTTCCATCAAGAGTCCCAAAAGGCCAAGAGAGTTTGCCTTCTGGGGATTTTCTTTAACATTGCTCAGTTTTGTAAAGCATGAAGTATGGGAAAATAAATCCATCGAGGTGTAATGCCATCATGATAAACCGCAATACCAAAGGTCTCGTTTTTTTTCATTAATGTATTTTGAACCTTATGATGGCATTATTTCCCCATAATATATACACGGCCAAACTGTATCTGTTATTTTACAGTATATTTTTAGTATATGGTTTGTGTCAGTCTTAGAGGTTTATGGTTAGTGTAAAGATAGTGGGTAGGATTTGATTGTTGCATAGTGTAGGAGTTACTGTTTAGGGTTTGTGTGTAATGTATGGAAGTGGCTAATGTTTAGTGATAGTGTTTTATATTTATTGATAGTGTTTTATAGTGTAGGGGTTAACGTTTAGTGATTTTTTTTAGTGTGATATAGTGCAGAGGATAGGAACACTCCAAGTACCATAGTCACTACAGCACACTGTAGTGGTTATGGTTCAAGGATCGCCGTAGTGCCCCACTGTATAAGTAGCCAAACCCTTTGCTAAACATTTAATGTTTATTCACTGTGAAGTGTAGTGCAGTAATGTATTTAAGGTTTTTGCTGCCCGAGGTCTTGTCAAGTCTAGGCGCCTCATCATACACATACACACACACACACACACACGCATGCACTCTTCACTTGCAAAACATATTTTTAAGTTTATATATGTGTGCAAATTATGTACATGCATAAATGTATGTGTACATATATATGCATGATATATGTAACCTCCTGTATATGTATTGAGAGTTATATCAGCTTGCTGCATTGCGTGTTGTCATTCAGGTGAAGGCTTATCAGTGGATGGCCGGTAATGTAACCTTATCATCTATATGGTTGTCCATAGTTAGATATGTCTATATGGTAATTTTATATTTTTCTCTTTATTGTACACTCTTGACCTGTATAAGTTTGCTTTATTAAAGCAAAAAAATGAAAATTTCTGCCTCTGACAATTCTAAATTCAGGACACTTCTGTTTTTCCACAAGGTTTATGACCATTCTTCAGAACTCAGACATTTTCAATACAACGAAAAACTGAATTGCTCCATATTAAATTAACTACTCACTGATTGCTTCTCTGATTTGTCTTAGTGAATAATAATTAAAGGGCAATTCCTTATAAAATGATGGGACTTTCCCAGATATCTACATTTCAGTTTATTTTTGGTTGTTAGTGAATTACCCCACATGCAAAGTCTAGCAATGCAATCACACTAAAGTATTTCTCAGACTCTAACTATAAATTGACTACAGGCAATCTTTAATCACCTTAATTAACTGTATCAAGTGTCTGATAGCTAGGTGTGTTATATAATATATCGCAAGTAATCTTTGTTGTATGATTGGATTCAGTATTATATTAATTAAATTATGTGTATTGTATAAGCTGTGATATCTTTTAAATTTATGACCTTTTCCCGGGCAAATATTTACATGATTATTATTTAATAGCATATTATTTCTCCTAAGTAATAAACATGACTTTTATGAAAATGTGCTTGGATCTCATGAACATTGGGACTGTAATATCATAGAGTTAGTAAAGTCACATGCCAATAGAACTATCTTTTTATCGTTCTGCACCTACATTAAAGGCAATACCAATAATACCAATATTTGTCGCAACTCACACTGTAGAAAAATCTTAAAGAAACACTCAATGCACCATAATCACTGCAGCCTTCTGTAATGGTTAGGATACTCGGAGTGTCCTGACACTCTCCCATGGTAAATAGTCAAACAGTCATCTGTCATTGCCTCCCTGGGTCCACAAACTCTTGCACGAAGCTTCTTTTGGCTCCATTGAGCACTCTCATCCAATGAATAGCTCCCTGCACCGCTAGGCTTAATTCGGTGTTAGATCTTCTGAGATCTGACCACCTAAAAAAAAAAAAAAAACACTTTTCGCTTTTTAGTTATTATTATTTTATTATTTATATAGCGCCATCAGATTCCGTAGCGCTGTACAATGGGTTATACCTCTTACTCGCTGTATCTAGTAATACATAAATTGTTATTTATTTGTATAATAAAAATTATAACAGATGGGGTTTTTTTTATTGGTGGTGTAAACATGAAAATCATATAAAAAGCAAATTAACCTCTAAATTGTGATTAAGAACAATAATGTGTACTCTGACAATATAAAGTATTACACACACTGGTCCTCGCACACTGTGACTTGGATAAAATAGAATTTGTTTGCTGATGTGATTTGCTTTGAAAGCCTTTACACGCTGCCTGTGGATAAAATGCAATATGATGGCAGTTGACTTTTGGGTTTGTTTTGTATTTTGCTTGGCTGTATATTGCTTTTGAAGTATTATGATATCCTTTTGATATATTTTTAATGCTGCAGTGATCCCCATCAATCAAGGGAACTTAGAACAAATCGAAATAACATTGTCGTCATTATGGCAGATTCCATCTTTTACGTGTTCACTACTGATGTCAGCTAGTAATCGATTGATACGAGGTGACTTTTTCACCGTTTTTTGTCTCTCTCTTTTTTTTTTCAGAATAGTTTTTTTTATTAGTAGTGATGTCCCGAACGGTTCGCGAACGGTTCGCCACGAACAGTTCGCCACGGACTCATCAGTGAGTAAACTTTGACCCTGTACCTCACAGTCAGCAGACACATTCCAGCCAATCAGCAGCAGACACTCCCTCCCAGACCCTCCCACCTCCTGGAAACTCAATTGAGTTTATTATGTAAATGTGGTATTAAACTAGAATATAAAAATGTATTGTATTTTCCATTTATTGTATTCTAAAAACAACAAAATGTCCAATACGTGTATATGGTTATATGCAAACACTTTCAGATCCTTAGACAATTCTGTTTTATAACTGAATTACGGATGGTGCTCAGAAATTTATTCTAACAGATTGAAATCACTTTTTTAAGAATAATATTGATTTTAAGGTAAAACATTTCTTTAAGAAAACAAAAAAACAAAAATCCCTAAAATATAGATATCTACCACAATTAAAAATATATGTAAATTTTTTGTATAAAAAAAGTGTATACTTTGCTGTGCCTCGTTGTGCTGCATTGACAGCTTTATGTGTTTGGGGGGTAATATTACATGATCTATATTGCATACTGGCAGCATTATGGAAACACAATATTTCAGAGCTGCTCTGGTAAAAGCAATATAAAAAAAATACTGTGTGATATATTTGAAGTTAGCATGTAAGACATAGGTTTTGATGCAGCATCTGTGATGTAGTTGGTGTTGGATATTGGGTGTGCCAAAGGATAAGTAACTGTTGATGCGCCAGTCTTAATTGGTGAATGTCTTGTGGCATGCGGCTTCTGAGCAAGGTTATTTACTAAAGTTTGTACTGTTGAGTATTCCAAGTAAATTTGAATTTGTTAGTCAAAATAACCAAATTGGAGGTATTTTCCAAGTC